GTGGGACATATATCACAATTCCCTACTCACAACCCGCAACTTATAAACCATAATATTATTGACTTTGATTTCAAATGCATTAAATTGATTGAAAACAATAGACAATAACATTTGTTTCAAAATCAGACGATTACTAAACAAACAAAATTAGATAAACAAAATTTATCTATTAATTAATAATATTACATTATTTTCATATTATGAACCCCGGTATTATTAAGTCGTGGGTAACGACTTACTAATAATTTTGACCCCTTTGTAAACTAGTCACTTATTATACTGTAAACTGTAAACTTAAAACTATAAATACATGTGAAGTAATGCAGTGCTGAAAACAATGTCAAAACACAGCTCTCGCGCAATGCTTTTCAATGGGAAAAGTGTTGGAAACTATTTTGACGGATAGGTCCACTTTGTCAACACAATACTCAGCCATTTCTTAAGGTATTATGGATTGTATTATACCGTCTGAGAGCTTGTTTATTACTGATTAAAATGATATCTAATTATTTATAACTATTACTTTATGTTGATCACAATTCTCCAAAAACAAATGTAAAAAACACAGTAAACACTTTGTAAATAGACCATGATGCACATATTGTTTTATAATTTAATCAATTGCTTGTAATAATATTATTGTAATAATAAGACACCCATAATATTATTAGATTTAAAATACTTTGTCTACGAATTTTTTTGTATATAATCAATTATTAAAATTATATTATTATGCTCAGAAAGTTTTCATAAATTAATTTATCTTAATAGTAGTTATAATATAATTAAAATCGAAACTATTAACTACTATAAACTAGCTACAAAGTACCACCAGAATGAAAATTTATATTTTAATATTTTTGTTACAGGTACGTTGGCAAATTTAAATGTGTAATAAAATACTAATAATCTAGCAATTTTATTTGTGATTTTAGGTGACACTAGTACCCGGGTCACTCCACCAAAATTATGACAACACTATAGACTTGCCCTCCAAAGAGGAACTGGAGGCCAGAGCTACCAAACTCGAGGAGCGCCTGGAGAGAGTCGCCGCCCGATTGAGAGCCGAACCCCGTATAGACATCCGCGAGTTGGCCACCCTTGCCCTGTACGACGTCGAACTCAGGGTTCTGTCGGTCGAACTCCACCTGGCGGTCACGGCCCGCGCGATCCGGATCCTCGAAGTCCTACTGAACGACCTGGAGATCCGAGTGGACGCCGAGATCAAGCGATTGGTGCAACTGTTGGATCCCACTCCCGCCCCGTCACCCACTAAAACACCCGCACCTACCTCGGTACCAACCATAGTAACAGTAGCACCGACACCACCCACTACCCAGTCCCCTATCACGACCCAAACCCCACTGGACAAGGTTGCCCTACTGAGAATGGCGGCCGAACTCGACA